TCTAGTTCCACGTGCCATGTCTAATGGATGTCAGTTATCAGTTATCTCCTGTTAATTTCCTTCTCTAAGTTCTCCACTGCCTTAACAGGGTACTGAACTCTCACTCTTTGAGTACTGTTACTGGATCTAACAAACGCCTTTATCCACTGTGCCATATGTCCTTGAAGAAGGGCGAAACGTACAACGGCCGAAACGTTGTGATAAATATGGCGACAAAGACGAGGACAATAGTCTGAATCATGTAAATAGTGTACATAATACCTCATCTCAGATATATAGACAGATACTGAAAGGCCGAAACTTTGTAATAAATATGGCGACAAAGATTAGGAAAATAGTCCGAATCATGTAAATAGTGTACATAATACCTCATCTCAGAAATATAGACAGATACTGAAAGGCCGAAACGTTGTAATAAATATGACGACAAAGATGAAAACAATAGTCTGAATAATGCAAATAGTGTACATAATACCTCATCTCAGAAATATAGACAAATACTGAAGGGCCAAAACGTTGTAATAAATATGGCGACAAAGATGAGGACCATAGTCCGAATAATGTAAATAGTGTACATAATACCTCATCTCAGATATATAGACAGATACTGAAAGGCCGAAACTTTGTAATAAATATGTCGACAAAGATTAAGACAATAGTCCGAATCATGTAAATAGTGTACATAATACCTCATCTCAAAAATATAGACAGATACTGAAAGGCCGAAACGTTGTAATAAATATGACGACAAAGATGAGGACAATAGTCCGAATAATGTAAATAGTGTACATAATACCTCATCTCAGAAATATAGACAGATACTGAAATGCCGAAACGTTGTAATAAATATTGCAACAAAGATGAGGACAATAGTCTGACTAATGTAAATAGTACAAAGTTTGTTATCTCGTATTTGTTGAATTTGATTGCTGCTAGTGTCTTATCCAAATATACACACAGGCTGTTTCTTTATTGGCTACTCACTTTGCTAATATTTCGTGGAACGTGCGATGAAGACATTCCGCTTTAACGTTAATCTGAGGATGATAAAACGAGGTAGTAACGGGATCGATCTTCAGCGTTTCTTTCATAGTGTGATTTACGTTTTCAGTGCCGTTATCTGAAACTTACTGCAATGGATCACCGGAACTAGGAAAAAAAAATCATCTATCAATAAACGACTGATGACTTCACCGTTTTTTCATCAGGAACGGCAAATGCCTCAGGTCATCCCCTGTATAAATCAATAAAACTCTGTACTGATTTCTTGATAATGCGCAAGAAGTAAGTCCTGATACATCAACTGAAATCATAACAAAATTGTATTAGAGCAGGTCAGTTTCCTTCATTTTAGGATTTACTTTTGGATATTTCTCAATTGACAGGGGGGCGGAGTACTAATGTGATTGGCGATGTCCTTATACATACGACACTAAAAGTATTTGCGCCTCATGGCTCTCTCACTCTGCTCTGTTCCGACGTCTCCAGTTTCATCATGGTACTGTCGTACAAGATGATTTAAGACATATAATCGTACGGTACGTTCGTCGTCTGGATTTGATAAATGGTAAAGTACATGCACCATCAGTACATACTTATTCCCTTCCTTAACACTCACGTTACCTGTTTTAATATGTTGTTTCAATTCCTTAATGTCCTCATCATTATATTGCTCTAAACTATTCAGTATCTGTCTATATTTCTGAGATGAAGTATTATGTACATTATTTACAATTTTCGTAACATTTTTTCATAACTGAGACATCCAGATGCGATATGGAACCTGGAACTGGAATAAGCTACACCAGTGGACAAAATAAATGGTTCGGTTCAAAATTCCAGTGACCTGAAGAAGGCCGGAACGTACAAGGGTCGAAACATTTTGAATATGACAATGAAGATAAGGATAACAGTCTGAATAATATAAATAATGCAAGTAATCATAATACCTCATCTCAGATATATAGAGGTTGAAACGTTGTGAATATGCCAATGAAGATGAGGATAACAGTCCGAATAATGTAAATAATGCAAGTAATCATAATACCTCATCTCAGAGATCCAATCACCTGAAGATGGCCGGGGTGTACAATTGCCGAAATGTTGTGAATATGGCAATGAAAATTAGAATAACAGTTGGAATAATGTAAATAATGCAAGTAATCATAATATATCATCTCAGAGATATAGACGCCGAAAACTTGTGAATATGGCAATGAAGATGAGGATAACAGTCCGAATAATGTAAATAATGCAAGTAATCATAATACCTCTTCTCAGAGATCTAGTCACCTGAAGATGGCCGGAGCGTACCACAGCCGAAATGTGAATATAGCAATGAAGATGAGGATAACTGTCCAAATAGTGTAAATAATGCAAGTAATCATAATACTTCATCTCAGGGAAATAGAGGCCGAAACGTTGTGAATATGGCAATGAAGATGAGGATGACACTCTGAATAATGTAAATAATGCAAGTAATCATAATACCTCATCTCAGAGATATAGAGGCCGAAACGTTGTGAATATGGCAATGAAGATGAGGATGACAGTCCGAATAATGTAAATAATGCAAGTAATCATAATACCTCATCTCAGAGATATAGAGGCATAAAACGTTGTGAATATGGCAATGAAGATGAGGATGACAGTCCGAATAATGTAAATAATGCAAGTAATCATAATACCTCTTCTCAGAGATATAGATTTGAAAAACGTTGTGAATATGGCAATGAAGAAGATGAGGATAACAGTCCGAATAATGTAAATAATGCATTTAAATCATAATACCTCTTCTCAGAGATATAGAGGCCGAAACGTTGTGAATATGGCAATGAAGATGAGGATGACAGTCCGAATAATGTAAATAATGCAAGTAATCATAATGCCTCAAAAACATAGACGGATATTTGAAGTAACTAAAACTAACACATCGTCATGGTTTGTGTTGCTGTTGATTCTAATGTTTCAGTGTTGTCCTTGGTGTTCATTGAAGACAATATCAAAGTGAATAGAATCGTTTACAAGTAAATGTTGTCGAGAGATGTATTGCCCTGGTTTCCAGTCCCATTTGGAAGTCACTGTGTCTTCCAATCAAGTAAGTGCTCCCGTACAAACGGCCAATTTGATGCAGAACTGATGCAAGAGACATTTCCGTGTATTTATGACAAGTCGATTTGGCTTCCATCAAGCCGCTAAATTAATCCTATGGACTTCGCGATATGGACCATATTTATAGATTGATGTTTCACTTATCTCATATTCAAGCCTGTCAGATCTGAAAGAAGCTCTTATGACGTTGTGGTACAACTTGAGGAAACAGGTGATGAAGACATGTCCTTCAGTTGAGAAGAGATTAAGGACTATGGTGTGAGCAAAGGGTGGCCATTTTGAATTGTAAATTTATGTAAAGTATTGTCAGTACATATAACAATCAACTTGCAAACCTTCATTAATCTGAACCCGAAACTTTTTATTTTATGATAAAATAGATATTGGGTAAACTCATAGGCCGCACAAGGTATATTTGGTCAGCAACTCTTCTTTTATGCGTGTTTCGTTAAATGTCACAAACAAGGAATATCCTGCGAATTTGATTTGTTTAATTTTTCTTGTCGTCCTACAAATTTTGTATTTTAGGACAAAGTTTGTGGAGAAATTGTTGATAGTGTAGGCACTCTCAAGCACTTTCAGCTAATACTTTAAACATTGTCAAGGTTGCTAATTATCCTCAGTAATGAGGATTAATAATAATTTTTCCTATAGTGTATTTTAAGAGAGGTATTTTTAATAGTAATTTTCATTCTTAATAAAGTTGTACTTAATTTCCAAACATTGTTAGGAAATTCTTCTTCTTCTTCTTCTTCTTATTATTATTATTATTAGTAGTAGTAGTAGTATTTGTGTTTGTCATGTTTCCTTCTTTGTATCCTGTAGAACTGTGTCTAAACTATGGTCCTTAGGCCCTGTAACAGAATTGTCATTTAATTGATAGCACTTTTCTTAGTATATTATTATATGTTCCTATTAGGGTGATCTTCTGGGAAACTTGTATGTTAATGTTACCTGGAACACTGTTAGTAAAATTGTCCATTCTTTTTCTCACGAGGTCCAGTGTTCCGATTACTATTGCTACAGTCTTAATCTTCATTCCCCACATCATGTTAATCTCGATCTCCAGGTTCTTGTATTTGGACAATTTCTCGATAATTTTTGTGGAGTGATTCTCTCAGGGGGTACTGCATACACTTTCTGAATTTTTTGTCTTTTATGATAATATCAGGTCTGCTGGCTTTTATTTCCTTGTCAGTTTGAATTGGCATGTCCCAGAGGATAGTTACATCATTATTTTGGGTAACTGTGTCTGGTTGGTGCTCATACCATCTCTCAGGGGTTTCGATTTTGTGCTCTTTGCATATCTCCCAGTGCAAATATGTCACTACCTTGTTATATCTGTGGGTATATTCATTTTTAGCCAGTTCCGAACACGACCAGGGACTTCTGGATACGTTTGTACGAGTTGCTATTAAGTGAACATTTGTTGATTTGTTATGAGAAGTGATTCACTTTGTTTTACAACTAGATGTTATTCTTTTCTCTGGTTTATGAATCAGGTCTTTTAATACAGTAAAAAGTTGTTAGTTGGGTACATTTAAGTCTTTTCCTATTGAGCTAATATCATAACTATTTACGATATGTTTAAAAAAAACTTTCTTCATGTCATTGTGACAAAATATATATTGTCAGAGAGAGAGAGAGAGAGAGAGAGAGAGAGAGAAAGAGAGAGAGAGAGCAGAAAAACATGATTCAATTCATTTGATCATGTGTAGATCAGAAAATATGGGTGATAACATCCACGTCTCTTGAGGGTAAGACATTTCAGTAAGTTTTTTTTAAAGCAGAATTTATTAAAATGAAAAAAATATATAAAAAACAAAAAACGTAAAATTGAAGTTTTTTGTGAAACAGACCAAAAGTAGTTTTCGTAGACTTCAAAGAAAAAATAATACAAAGAAATCCGAGAAAATCACGAATCTATTTTAACATGTTTTAGTACTCACACACACACACACACACACACACACACACACACACACACACACACACACACACACACACACACACACACACACACACACACACACACACACACACACACACACACACGCATACATGACTCACTTATGGAGCTTGAAAAGTACAGGCTCTCGAGAAAGCAGTTGAGCAACATGCTCCATAAGTTTTCTATGGGGTTGAGGTCAGGAGATTGGGGCGGCCATGTCATAACACTCGCCTGCGGCTCATCAGAGTATTCCATGAAATTTTGATTTGTGACAGGGAGCATTATCTTGCATAAAAATGAGCTTGGTGGGGTCTATTTGCACCCTTTCAGCAGAAGGGAGCAGACATGACTCTAAAATTCTCTTGTACTGCTCTCTCCTGAGGGTCTTTTCAATAGGTTTTAAGAAACCAGTTCCATGAAAAGAAAAGCATTCCCATAACATTATACTGAACGGATGCTTGACAGTACTTACTGCTAAATTCAAAGAGCTTTCAAAGCTTCTTCGGATTTTAGATCGCTTATCCTTTGAATTTAGCTCAACTTTCGTTTCATCGGAGAAGAGAACATTTAGTAAAAAAATCAGGTGAGTCACTTTTATCGAACAGCACTGTGTGTGTATATATATATATATATATATATATATATATATATATATATATACATTCATTTGACATTTTGTTTCAGTCTGTTGACAGTTGCATCTATTTATCTCTTTCAGTTTGTTCATATCTATCTATCTATCTATCTATCTATCTATACCCTAATCTGTTAATATTCGTCTTCTTCTTTCTCTTTCCGCTGTTAATATTGGCGCAACATTGTCTTCCGTGTTAACTTCAGAACATAGCTGACCGTGTCCAGAAATGTGTAAACACGCATAGATACAATTTTTGGCGCATCTTATAGTTACAAACATATGTTAGAAATTTAGACGGTAATCTGTATGGAACAGCGTTCCATTTCTTTTATCTGTCAAACGGCAATTAATATACTTGAAATTAATACATCATTAAAAAGAAATTTGGGATAAAATGAATGGTAATCAATATATTTAAAAGGAATCTAACGATTGCCAAGTAATGAAATTCGGAAATCAGTAATTATCACTTCAACTGACAGTCGTGTAACCAGAGGCTCATGGGAAAACGCCATTTTGAGTCTTGTCTGGTCTTTACGCTTTCACTCTTATTAGAAACTTTAGAAAACAAATACTGTAAAATGTAGAAGCGAAAGGAAGAAATCGATATATTTGTCTGTTGCTATTGATTATTTATTAAGTATTGATAGTGTTGAAAGATACTGGCCGAATTGTATAGACGAGGAGACGAAAGAACAAGAGAATCTAGTCTCCATTTCAAAATTAGTCCAAACAGCGGTCGATATTATTGAAAAAATGTCCATAGGTATGAAAAACTACCCAAAAATATTTACTTTATGGCAAAAATATAGTCAAATTCCACTGAAAACATTAATTTCTTTCCCAAAGTTAAGCAATAATAAATCTCTTCTATAATTAGATGTAAAGTTCATGGTAAAAAACACATACTGTAAACATTCTGAAGCCGATGTGTTTTCAGATCGACAAAAGCTTAGATAATAATTGCAAAGAAAAAGAATTGAAAAGACAATATACGGCGTCCATAAAGTTTGTGTGCACTTTAAAAAACTTATAACTTTATTTGTATTTGCGATAGAAATAAATTGTAAAAAGGATTAGAAAGAAGTAAATCTATATTTTTTAAGGTTTTATTGAAATTTTATTTAAGTTTCCACATGTCCTCCATCATTAGCAATACAAAGGGTCATACAATTTTGCAGTTCACGGAAAACGTTTGCCAACTGATTTACAGTAATGCCTGAAATCACAGTTAATTTAGCTATACTTAAAACTAGGTACATTAAACGTTATAACATTTTTTACAGATTATTTCTGTCACAAATACAAATAAAGTTATAATTTTTTTAAAGTAAACATGAACTTTATAGACACCTTGTAAATTGGGCCACAATAAAAGTTCCTGGCATTTTTTCCAAGTCAATTTGAAAGACGATATTTAGATATTTGTACCGATATTTATTCAACCATATACGTCACACTTTTTCCACTATAAATTGACGATATTTTTGGCAGCTTCATGATTCCATCCTCCCAGAATTTGGCATTTTTCTTGATGATGAGCTAATTTATGATGTTATAGACATCCAGGCTTACGGTTACATCACGTCTAAACACCGGTTCTCTTCCGACTACTAAAGTTAAGCAACGTTGGACCTGATCAGTATATTGATGGGTGACCGCTTGGAAATATCAGATGCTGTAAGCTGGGATGTGCGGGTGGTGTAATGAGCAATAGCTCGGAAATTTAAATCGGAGAACTGAGTTCGATTGCCAGTCTCGTTATATTCACTAACGCGCAAATCACCTCCCCGCTGGGGGTTAAATAGTAAGACATGCATCAGAAAATCATTATTATCCCCCCAAAAATTTATCACAATCAAAAATGTTTTGTCTTTACATAACCTGCAATTGTTGATAAGCCGGTTAGAACCAATTAATAAATCGAGTCAATTTGGCTTCCAATATCCCTTAAATTTCGTCCAGGGTATGACGATAAACTACATCCGTGTCCTGGGTATGACGATAAACTACATTCGCGTCCTGGGTATGGCGATAAACTACGTCCAGCAGCAAGTCCTCTGATCAGGAGGTTTTGAGGAGCGTGGAACCACCTCTTAATTGCTGGTATTCCTAGGTACACCCTGACCCAGGGTGGTAGTACCTGTTAGGGTCCTAGCTATGGGCAAATATTTAACACTCAGACTACATTCACGTCCTGGGTATGACGATAAACTACATCCGCGTCCTGAGTAAGACGATAAACTACGTCCAACAGCAAGGCCTCCTCTGATATGTTTTTGAAAAAATAATGTTGCCAGTTATACGTTGTTTTTTTTTTTTGTTTTTTTTTTTTTTTTGAAAGAATATTGTTAGCGGCTATACGTTTTTGACAAAATAATATTACCAACTATACGTTTTTGAGGAAAAAAATATTAACAGAAATAGATATTTGACAAAACAAAAATATTACCAGGAAAAAAAAGTCGGCATTAAATGACCCATTGAGGCTGATATGCCGTAAAACAAACCAAACCAAACCAAGCCCTTAATCCTATAGATAAGGGCCATACAGATTGATGTTGCACTTTCTCGTACTCAAGCCTATTAGATCTGAAAGAAGTTCTTACGACGTTGTGGTACAATTTGAGCAAACAGTTGAAGAAGTGATGCCATTCATTTGAGAAATTTGTCACAAAAATATGTTTTGTCTTTAAATAAACTTCAATGGTTGATAAACCGTAAAAAAACAATCGATTGATCGATCAAACATACTTCCGGAGAAATGAAGTTCTTCCCAATAGAAGAATTTTCTATGGATTGAAATAACTGGTAAAGCGAAGGTGTAAGTTTAGGTGAGTATATCGTGTGGACATTTCAACGAAACTCTACCAGTTTCTGATGGTTACGAAAAAAGATGTTAGGTTTGGCGTTGTCCCTTATAGAATTGAACGTCTGATTTTGTGAAATGAGGTCATAGATAATACCATTCCAATCCAAAGAAATACCCGGCCTGGGTATGACGATAAACTACATCCGCGTCCTGCGTAAGACAATAAACTACAAGGCCTGGCCATGTTCTTCTGCTTGAGGGGCAATAAAAAAATTAAGATTGGTCAGAGGAAGGGGAAGGACGAGGGTTTTTGTTCTTATGTTTTTAAGTCGTCTGTATCTTTTTAAACCTTTCTCCATTTTTGCGTATTGTGTGTGCGTGTGTGTATTTGCTAGTATGTGTGTATATATATATATATATATATTAAAATGAAGGGAGAAACCGTAAATTAATTAGTTTTTCTTTTGTTTTTCGATGTTAAATATTCTCGATATGAGACATTGTCTTTTTTGTGTGTTAGTGACCCAAATGTCTTTCTTGAACGTTCTTTCTTGAACGTTCCTGTCTTTTTTGAATGTTCAAGAATGCTTCCGGAGAAGTTCTTCCCAATAAAAGATTTCACCATAGATCGAAATGACTGGTAAAGCGAAGGTGTAAGGTTAAGTGAATATACCGTGTGAACATTCCAGCTAAAGTGTACCAGTTTCTGATGGTTACGAAAAAAGATGTTAGGCCTGGCGTTGTCCCTTATAGAATTCAACGTCTGATTTTGTGAAATGAGGTCATGGATAATACCATACCAGTCCAAAGAAAGACCCGTCCTGGGTATGACGATAAAGTACATCCGCGTCCTGGGTAAGACGATAAACTACATTTAACAGCAAGGCCTCTGAACAGGAGGCTTTGAGGAGTGTGGAACCACCTCCTAATTGCTGGTTTTCCCAGGTCCAGCTTGACCCGGGGTGGTAGCACTTGTCTGGGTCCCAGCCGTCGGCAAGTTGTTGACCCCCACCACAAAAGGGTTAAAAACACTATGAATGTGTAAAAGTTGGTTTTAATACCAGCAATGCATTTTGTAAAAAAAATTTATGACCAGTAATGAATTTTGAAGGAAAAAAAATGATTACCAGCAATACATTATTACCAATAATACATTTTTAGAAAAAAAAACATTATTGCCAGCAATAAAAATCTTGTCGTCATTAAGTAACCCATTGAGGCTGATATACCGTAAAACAGAACAAACCAAACCTGTTTGATATATTAGCATAATTTTAAATTTACCTTCACTACATTTGTGGATGTGGTGTGACACAAAGATTTTTCTGAAGTCTGGTAATTTAATGTTGCGTTTGTGAAGAAAAACTCTGTTTAGTGTTTGGGTGATACCTATATAGGATTTGTTGCATTTTGTGCACTTGAGTGCGTAAATCACATTTTTGGAGTTACAGTTTAAGTTTATGCATAGACAGATACATAGATAAATCTCAATAAATTAATATGAAAAAAGATAAGGAAGATTTGAACTGACTTAGACAGATGTAGACATTAAGCGGTTTTAGTTTTTACTTCTATTACACTAGCTTACTAGCCTTAATTCAGACGGCCTAGATACAAATAGGTAAATATGAAAAGACTGAGGTACGAGGTCGGGAATGAGGGAAAATTAATATCCACAAAAATTAGTTATATAATTTTGTCCACAGTTAAGTACTTCGGGTTAATAAACATTAACAACAATATTATAAATTTGGATTGTGATCACAACAAAAAAGTAAAAAAAAAATATTTTACCCATAGCTGGGACCCATTAAAACAGTCACTATTACTCCGGGTCAGAGTGATTCTGAGGGTCATTAGAGGAGGATTGGGCTAAAAGTAGGACTATTTACATTTATACTCCGAAACTAAGGACTCACATTCATACAAAAAAAAACGTTTCTTAAGACAATAACTAATGGATGCAGTTTTAAGTCCTACCCAGGACTAATAAGGACCTTATAAGTCAGTACCAAATATGGTAGAAATGAAAGCCCGTAATTTAAATTTCGTAATTGGCTTTGTAAATAAATCAGCCACATTATTTTCCGATTGAACGTATTCAATTTGTACTGTTTTCTTTTGTACCTGATCACTAACAAACTGATATTTAATATCGATATGCTTTGATCTTTGATGTATTATTGGATTTCTAGCCAAAGCGACACTGGCCTGATTGTCACAGTAAATAATTATAGGGTCACTTCTTATCAGTGTTGTAATTGTTTTTATTAGTAATTTAAGAAAAATAGCCTCTTGTGTTGCCTGCGACAATGCAACATATTCCGATTCACAAGTAGAAAGTGAAATCATTCCCTGTTTCTTAGATTTCCAGCTAATCATTGGATTACCATTTGCAAGCTTAAAGCAATAGCCTGTTATACTTTTACGATCTGGTGAGTTTGCCCAATCAGCATCACAAAATCCTTCCAATTGTAATGGTTTATCTGATTGTCGAAATACTAGGCACCGGCTCTTAGTTCCCTTTAGATAACGTAATACTTGCTTAGCTCTATTCTGGTCGGATAACACGGAATTTGCCCCCCCCCCACACACCATCAGTTGTATTTTCTTTTGACTCAAGTTTTGCGTCTGCTTTTACCTCGTCTACATTATCTGGTATAACACCTTCCTTTGATTGTGGATTTTGAACGGGTTTTCTACTCATAGGCCCATAATTAGGCCATACTAATTTGTGTTGGACCAGCTCCTCGCAGTTAATGTTCTTTTCTTCGGGTTCCTCCTATTGCCTCAAAGGAATCTATAAATCTGACGCATCTGATCTTCCTTATCATTTTAGTTTTGTTCAAATAAATCATATAGGCTGGACTTGTCATACCCAATAAATATGCCCCTTTCACTTTTTGGATCTAGTTTCGCCCTGTGGTCGACATATGTATAGCAAATTGTACCAAAAATATGCATACCACTTACATTGGGTTTGTAGTTCGTATAAGCTTCGTAAGGAGTCTTTTTAATGTTACTATTATAGCAACGGTTTCTTATATATACGGCTGTATTTTATGCATAAACCCACAGATTTTTTGGTAACTTAGATTCTATTAACAAACATCTAACCATTTCAAAAAGTGTCCTCCAACTGGGTTCAGAGACTCCGTTCTGGTGTGGAGAATAAGAACAGGTTTTCTCATGTTTAATGCCTTCATTTATTAGGAGGTTTTCGTAAGCATCAGAAGTAAATTCTCCACCATTCTCTGTCCGAATTATTTTTACTTTTCCATACGGGGAGATATTGGATAAATAGATTTTTGTAGCTTGCAGGGTATCAGATCTATTTTTCAGAAAATATATCATAATAAGTCCTGAATATTCGTCAACAAAGTTTAATACATATGAATAGGTGTCTATACCTTTTGGGGAAATTGGAATCGCTAAGTCGCAATAAACTCTGAACAAGATATCTGTTGATTTTGGGATCCGACCCCGCTTTCTATATTTCGTCATTTTCCCTTTAATACACGTGTTACAATATTGTAAGCCCTTTGGAAATGTAATTTTCATTCCAATGACGTGTTCTTGTAATCCTTTAACATCCGAATTATTACAGTGGCCTAATATTTTATGCCAAGTCCTTAATTCGTGCGTGGCTGTCTTCACAGACTTAATACTTTTCAAATAATACAAACGTCCATTTTGCTGTATATTAAATTCAGTTCCGTCTGGATAGATTAACTTTGAATTGTCTCGGTGAAAATTGACTTTAACACCAGTTCTAACAGCAGACTGAACCGAAAAAATATTTTGTTTAAATTTAGGAATATATAAAGCCCTTTTTAATAAACATTTACAAATATTCCCTTTAGTATTTCGTAA